AAAGAAGATCAATTTCTTTTAGGTACCCAAACTTGCTTGGGTCCTTGTAGGTTAGTTACCAAGGTCTTTGGTACCCAAATGGCCTTCTTCTTTGGGCCCACAATTGATGTACCAATGAACTTAGCATTCACGCCATTGGCACCCTTATAAAGCATGTAACAAGAATCAAATTTGATTGATGATACATTAGGTAGCTTGTTCTTATTAATCTTGCAATTTTTCTCTATATGCCCAACTTGCTTGCATCTATTGCAAAACCGACCATTTCCCTTCACAAAGCTAGCTTTAAGAGTGATAAAGGCTGCCTTGCCTTTCTTGTGGGTATAGCCCAATCCCTCTTTGTTGAGAGAAAACCTTTGGCTACCCAAGCACTTTAGCAAGCGGGCATCTCCACCATAGGCATTGCCTAAGGCACGAGTGAGCTCATTCACCTCCTTCTTGCGGGTCTCATTTTCCACCATGAGTGAGGCATCACAAGTGAGACCATCACTTAAAAGTGAAGTGGAAGTAGTAATGCTACAGGAAGTGTTAGTAGAAGCAACTAAAATGGGTTCATGAAAGGATTCATCAATAAGATCACATGTTAGTCCCACATCACATGATACGATCATTTGCTCCTTGGCTTTTTCCACTTTGACTTGCTCAATGAGAGAGGAGTGAGCCTTTTCAAGCTTAGAGTGAGCTTTGCCAAGCTTCTCATGGGCTTCCATTAGCCTCTCATGAGTGGCATTGAGCTCATCAAAGGATTGCTCAAGAAATTTTACTTTCTTGTGCAATTCTTTGTACTCCTTTCTCTTCATCTCATTGTAAGCGTGCACTTGCTCGCACATGTCCAAGAGTTCCTCCTTGGTGTACTCCTCCTCATCATCATTATCATCATTCCTACAAGAATCACTTTCACATTCATCATCATCACTCTCATCATATTTTACCTTAGTAGGCTTTGCCATGAGGCATGTCGATGGAGTGTCGAAGATAAAGGGCTTGTTGTTGATGGCGATGCTTGCTAGTACTTTCTTGATAGATTTCTTGCCATCATCACTAGAATCATCACTATCCGAAGAGCCATCACTATCCCAAGTGACCACATATCCTCCACCCTTTTTCTTTTGGAAGGTCATCTTCTTCTCCTTCTTCTCCTTCTTTTCTTTCTTATCCTCCTTGTGCTTCTTCTCATCCTCATCATTATCACTATTATATGGGCAATTTGCTACTACATGATCGGGGCTCTTGTAATTATAGCATCTTCTCACATACTCTTTCTTCTTGGTGTGATCTCTTCTCTTTCTTGGACCATAGCCTTTCTTCATGAATTTTTCCATCTTGCAGACAAAGAGAGCCATAGCTTCATCATCAATATCACTAAGGTCATCATCATCACTTGATTCTTTCTTTGACTTGCCTTTGTTCTTGGATGATGATGAGCTAGCCTTGAATGCCACACTTTTCTTCTTCTTATCTTCTTCATCCATCTTGTCATCCTTGTCATCCCCCTCTCTTTCCACATGGTATGTCTCTTGGGTCATGACATCACCTAGTACTTGGTTGGGGGTAATGTCCTTCAATCCTCCTCTTATGATGAGCAATCTTAACATCTCAAATCTTGGAGGTAGGCACATCAAGAACCGATGAGAGACATCATCATCCTTGATCTTCTCTCTCAATGTCTTCAAATCATTGACAATGACTTGCAATCGATGAAACATCTCCGGAATACTCTCATCATCCTTCATCTTGAAACTTGTCAATTTATCCTTGAGGATATACAACTTGGCACTCTTCACTGCCGGTGTGCCCTCATATGTTTCCTCCAATCTCCTCCATACCTCATTTGCTCTTTCACAATCTTTGATTTGCTCAAACACCTTGGAATCAATGGCATTGTATATGGTGTTGAGAGCCATTGTGTTGCATTGCTTGTTGGTCTTGTCTTGGTTAGTGGGATTGTCGGGGTCAATGATAGCATAATCATTCTTGGTCACTTCCCATACTTGATCATTGATTGAACCAAGATACATTCTTATCTTTCTATTCTAATAATCATAGCTTGTGCCATCAAAGAACGGTGGTTTGCCCCCCACATGGTTGAACACAACTTGAGCCATAATTTTGACACCGAGGTTGTTAAGCCTTTAATCAAACGGTGGCCACGGCTCTGATACCACTTGAAAGGTCCTAATATGGCTAGAGGGGGGGTGAATAGCCTATTTAAAAATCTACAAATCAACTAGAGCAATTTGATTAGTATGACAAATAGCGTGATGCAAATTTGCTCTAGCTCTACAAAGGTTGCAAGCCACCTATCCAACAATTCTAGTTGCAATGATTGCTTAGGCACACAAACTTGTTATGTAACTACTCACTAAGAGCTCTCAATCTTGCTACTCTAAAGAGCTCAACTAGATGAATGTAAATAATAAAGCAAGCTCTCAATTCTAATTACGCTAAAGAGCTTGTATCAACTAGTTTGCAAGAATGTAAATAAGTGAGTAGGATGATTATACCGCCGTGTTAAGGATGAACCAATCACAAGATGAATATATAGCCAATCACCGGGAGAATGCCAAAGACAAGAGACAATCGATTTTCTCTCGAAATTCACGTGTTTGCCAACACGCTACGTCCCCATTGTGTAGACCAACACTTGGTGGTTCGGCGGCTAAGAGGTGTTTCACAAACCTCGTCCACACGATAGGACACCACAAGAACCGACCCACAAGTGAGGTAACTCAATGACACGAGCAATTTACTGAAGTTACCTTTCGGCACTCCGCCGGGGAAGGTACAACTCCTTTTACAATCACCGGAGATGACCACGGACAATCACCAACTCGTGCCAATCCTCCACCACTGCTCCAACCGTCTAGGTGGTGGCAACCACCAAGAGAAACAAGCGAAATCCGCAGCGCAACACGAATGCCAAGTGCACTAGATGCAATCACTCAAGCAATGCACTTGGATTCTCTCCCAATCTCACAATGATGATGGATCAATGATGGAGATGAATGGGAGGGTTTTGGCTAAGCTCACAAGGTTGCTATATCAATGAAAATGGCCAAGAGAGTGAGCTTGAGCCGGCCATAGGGCTTAAATAGAGGCCCCCATGAAATAGAGCCGTTGTACCCTTTCACTGGGCACAACACGGGGTGACCGGACGCTCCGGTCATATTGACCGGACGCTGGACCCAGCGTCCGGTCGCCCGATGTAAGCCACGTGTCATTCTGAGTTAAACCTGAGCCACCAGATCTCAACGGCTATTGACTGACCGGACGCTCCGGCACAAGTGACCGGACGCTCAGACCCCAGTGTCCGGTCGTTTCCAGTAAGCTCCCAAAACCGACTTTTGCCGACCGGACGTGTCCGGTCCACCTCGACCGGACACTGCCCAGCGTCCGGTGCAATACCCTAGGTACTGTGCCGACATGTCAGTCCGACCGGACGCAGTCCTTCAGCGTCCGGTCGCTGAGCGACCTAGCGTCCGATCAGTTGACCGACGCCAGCATCTTTGCGACCAACTCTTTTTCACTTCTAACTTCTCCACCCTTGCTCAAATGTGCCAACCACCAAGTGTATTACCTTGTGCACATATGTTAGCATATTTTCACAAACATTTTTAAGGGTGTTAGCATTCCACTAGATCCTAAATGCATATGCAATAAGTTAGAGTATCTAATGGTACTTTGATAACCGCATTTCGATACGAGTTTCACCCCTCTTAATAGTACGGCTATCAATCCTAAATGTGACCACACTCGCTAAGTGTCTCGATCACTAAAACAAAATAGCTCCTATAATTTATACCTTTGCCTTGAGCCTTTTGTTTTTCTCTTTCTTCTTTTCCAAGTTTAAACATTTGATCATCACCATGCCATCACGGTTGTCATGATCTTCGCTATTGTTTCATCACTTGGAGTAGTGCTACCTATCTCATAATCACTTTGATAAACTAGATTAGCATTTAGGGTTTCATCAATTAACCAAAACCAAACTAGAGCTTTCACGCGTCCGACCAGTTGCTCGACAACTGCAGGCGTCAGCAGTAGCGACCGGACGCTGAGGACTAAAAGTGACCGGACGCGTCCGGTGGCATGTGGTCGGACGCCATCAGCGTCCGATCAGTTGATCGCGCGCTCTAACGGTCGGAACAACCGGACGCGTCCGGTTAGTAGCAGAAAAGCGGGTTTCGCCCCTAACGGCTACTTTCTCAGTGGGGCTTAAAAATAGACCCCTTAACCGGCCATTTGAACAGTGTGGAGCTGATGAAACATACCAAGGGTGTTTCTACACCATTTTAGTGATCTCTACTTGTATAGTGTTTAGTGATTCATTAGGTGATTAGCATAGGTGCTTTGCGAAGTGCTTAGGTTGATTAGACCACCGCTTATACGCTTGCTCTAGGTTTATGTCTAGTGTTTAGTGAGGTTTGCATACCTCTTACCACTCGGTGCTTGCGCACCATTGTTGTACATCGGAGGAGCTTGTAGTCTTACGAGATCACATCAACCGCGTTTATAGTGTGGCCGCCACCGTGTACCGGAGGGAACAAGGCCCGCGGCGTTTTGGCCAGAAGCTTGATAGTGAAGACGGCGGGAAGTATCCGGGAGAGGCTTGTCGGAAGGCACGTCGGAGACCCACTTGCGCATGGGGAAGGCCCGAGGCTATCCACGGATGTACCCGACCGGGAGCTTGGCCCTTGCGAGGGATTCCTTGCGAGGGGCTTCAATGAGGACTAAGGGAAGCTTGCGCGCTTCTCGATAACTCGATAAAAATACCGGAGTCGTCGACGGGAATTTGCATATCTCTATCTTACTATTTAGCTTTCGTATTTACATTGTTTGCATTACTTATTTTGCGGTAGAGATAACAAAATTGTAGTTGCACATTTAGATAGTTTATCTTTTGCATAGGTTTTGCTAAGGTTAGAAAAAAAAGATCATAATTTCGAGTTAGAATTTTAAGTTGCCTAAATCACCCCACTCTTAGACGTCACGGTCCCTACATCCTGGTCCGAATCCGTGCTCAGTTTCTTCTCCGGGCTGAACAACGCCTGGTGGTCGCCGGCCCCGCGACGACAGCCACCGCCGGCGTTCGCGTCAGGCTCGGCCTCGTCCGCCACCCGTCTCCTGAACGAGGCGATGCCGCTCCGGCAGAGCGGGCAGGGGATGGTGCCGACGATCCCCGGCACGTCGTAGGACTTGATCACCGAGCACAGGTCCAGCGCGCACTTGACGCACAGCTCGTGCCCGCACACTGTGATGAACGAACGAACAGGGTTAGCATTTCCAAGAAGAGATTTGTAACTAATAACTAGAGACTAACGAACGAACCTTCGGCTGCGACGGTGCAGGGTCTTTCGAGGCAGACTGCGCAGGCGTTGCCGTCGTCGTCGGCGCCGCCGTCCAGGACCTCCGGCGGCGTAGTGTTCAGAACCAGGCCGCAGTCCCTGCACGTCGTTCACCAACCAAGTACCAAACGGCCAAACCATCCATCCGTGATCAGAACGAAGTTGCCTTTCCACTGCTCGTGACGATCCTTACAGTTACTACTGAAGAAGCGGCGGAGATGGGTAGGTACCTTGCGAGGGTGAGCACGCTGGCGAGCGGCGCCGAGAGGTAGGCGGAGGGCGGGAATTTGGGGATGGGCAGGTGAGACTTGGGCGACAGGACGTGCTCCAGCCAGTGGCATCCCCACGTCCCAGCCACGTCCACCGGGAGCCACCTGACTAGCCGAGAATAATCCGAGCGTCATGGGACGGGAGGACGGTGACCGCCTGACTGGCCGCCGACAACATGGACCGCGGACGAGAAAGAAAAAAAAAATCCAATCATATTATTACCCGTTGCAGTTGACGGCGGTCCTGTCGGCGCCTCGCGACACGAGGATCTGGCAGCACTTGACCTCGCCACCCGCGGCGGCGTAGTGCAGCGGCGTGCTGCCGGCGCCGATGGACGCCATGGGCGACGCGGCGCAGGGCAGCGTGGGCGCGGCGACGTCGGCGCGCTCGTCGATGAGCAGGTGCACGCAGTCTGCGTGCCCGTGCAGCGCCGCCAGGTGGAGCGCCGTCACGCCGCCGCTGTCCGCCCTGTTCACGAGCTTGCTGCTGGCGTTGCTGCCGTTGCCGCCGGCGCCGGCCAGCAGCAGGCGCGCGCACTTGACGTGGCCGCCCGCCGCCGCCAGGTGCAGCGCCGTCCGGCTGCTCAGGCTGTCCACCTTGGACACCTGTTCAGCCCCGTACGTGTACAAGTCAAACCACCATCAGTTGTGACCACACACACCAACCAACCAACCAAACAAGCTTTTGCAAATTGCAGCGATCAAGATCTAGCATTGTCAGCAGCACTGTGCTGCATTCACTCACGTTGCACCTGAAAACCAGCAGCGTCTGAACCACCTCCCAGTGACCGAACCGGCACGCCCGCATCAACGCCGTCTGCAATTTGACCCACGTATTTGTGTCAAAAACATGAGGTTGACAGGATTTAAACACAATACACCGGAAACTAATTGCATCCGTAAACCAACCGAGGGCAATGTTCGGCGGAGCTCCCGGCCCGTGGAAGATTGCACGGCTCGGGATGAACCTGGTCGAGTCGTGCAATCTTCCACGGTTAGTTTATGAATTAATAGATAATAAAGAATGACGTTGGATGGATTGGAGCGGTTTAATTGAATTACCTGACCGTAAATGTTCCTGGCATTCACGTCTGCTCCGTTCTCCAGCAGCAACACAGCGATCTGGTGATGAACATTGTTACATACAGGAGTTGGATTAGGACGAACAACGAACGAACGAATGAATCACAATTCACAAGACAACAGGGTACACGCCCAAGTTTAAGGCTGATGCTCAGCTGGAGCGTACTGTACGTCGTCGTCCCAACCGTTTTGGCAGCGATTTTTCCTTTTCGTACCTAGGAAGGACTTTGATCAACGTCAGCTGACTGATTGTGTCCGAAAATGGCACGCACGTCGTTTTTGCTTTGATTGTCTACTAATGCGACATTTTTCCCCCTGGATCGAGCGTGCATTGCACGTATTTTTCATTAATATATATAAGAGGGGATCGGAGCGAGATGACACATAATTAGCATGCACTGATAGCAACATCTATGAATGGTCGTCTGTGATATTTGAGTGCACCCAAGAACTAAAATAATTTCGGTTTATTTTTTTCCATTGATTGTTGCCCACCTGCGTGTGGGCAAATGTTTGCAACATGCATGAGGAAATTTCAAAGAATTTATTTGGGAACGAGATGGCCCTTTCACATTCCCTGGAAGGAAAAATACGTGTGGCGGTAGATTTTGTGTGACTGTCCTAGTTATTATTAATTCTGCGTGCCACCCCCCTGTATTCAACTTGCAAGGACGAAAATGATGACGAGTCAATCAATCAAACAAACAAAAAAGCTGGATCTACTACTATTACCAATCGTCATCGCTCAGCAGGCGACAACAACGTGTAGAAATAGTAATCCCGTATTAGGAGGCCACTTGCTCAACGTTACATCTTGTATTAAAAACACGTCACGGGCTGTTCCTTGGTTCGTCACATGCTAATATAACGAAATGATCTTGGATGTGTGGCTATATATGGTTTTGGCAAGATTTTTTTAGGTCCGGTGTCACCTCACGAATTTATCTCGAAAAGTTTGATTGACAGGAGAACAAGGACTCCTTTAGAATATGCGAGATTTTTTTTTAACATTTTTCGGCGGAAAAAGACACTGATGCATATTATTTTTTTATAAAAATTCTGTGTTCGATGTATAATTTTGTACATATAACGGTGAAACCATATAGGAAACAAAATGTCAAGGGGATGGCCATGCATGGACATGATTTGTTCTCTATTTATTACTGCTATTGCTCTACTACTACCAACTCGGGTGAAATTTTAATTACGTGCCACGTATGCAAGAGCATGCGCATGTTATGGGCTCCTCCAAGCCTCCAAATTTTGGCACTGCTGGACAATTTTTTTGGGTAAAAAAAAGACACACACACACACAGCATTTGATCGAGATGCATGCAGGAAGAAGCAGTGTGCCTAAAAGTCAAAATAGACAAGGAAAGATTGTCAGGATATTCTCCAACGCTCATACACTCTATCCTTGTGTTTACGCTTCCTCAAGCTAAGACGTGGCGTATTGATTTAGCTCTAAGCTCAAACTGCTTAACACCTTTTTTCTTGTCCTTATTACCAATTAAGTTGCACGCACCAACTAATTAAAAGCAAGATCGGTGAACAGAGATTAAAAAATAAACAATCTATGATGTTTATTTTGCTAGCAGTTGTTTTGCAAAACTATTGTATTATATATACTCTATATATACTAGAAGTAAAAAAAATAATCGGAGAGACAGAGAGAGCTAGCGTGCGCTTGCATGCTAAGCTCTACACCAACACATGAGCAGCTCATGGTGCACCTCCGGCGTTATCGGCAACGGCACGTACCTCGTGGTGGCCTTTGGCTGCGGCGAGGTGGAGCGGCGAGTTGAGGCTGCCGAAGGCGGCGCAGCGGGCGAGCCCCGGGTTGCCCTCCAGCAGCCGGCGCACCCCCGCCGCGTTGCCGTCCCTCGCGGCGGCCGCCAGCCGCTCGCCGAGCCCCGTGCACCCCAGGGCGTTGCCCATGCGTCGTCGTTCCCGCGCGCCGCCCGTGAGCCGTGAGCTACTTCTTCTTCTACCTGCTGGCCACCAGTTAGCTAGTAGCTCGAGTAGTTGCAACTTGCAAGGGGAGGCGTGTGGCGGCGCTAGATCACGCTGCAAACGTGATCGAGGAGCCGAGCCGGCCGGGGCGTTGGCAAAAAGCTAGCTAGCTAGATGCTGGCGGCGATTCTGTTGAGCTACGCCTACACGCCTCCGCTAGCGCTCGGCAGCCTCCCTGTCCCTCTGCCCTCTGGTGGTCTTATACGAATACGACACTGGCAAACTCTCCGGCCGCTCACTGCAGAGACCAATGGCTGAGATGAGAGGTTTTCCTCTCGTCATCTATCTACCTCTTCGTCTCTCTTGGTGAATATATATGGGATTACATTGATAATTAGCTGGGCAGGCAGGCAGGCATTAGTGTATTGATGATTAAAAGAGTGTGTGGTCTGTTTTGCAGGAACACCCTTGTGGATTTGCTGATTATAAATGTGTGTATGGAGGAAGCGGGTTAATTTTGATATGGACGTGATCTTAAACGAAATGCATCGATCGTGCATGTGGTTTTCGCTATGGACGACACCTCTGATGGCCAGCTCGAAGCCAGTATATATGTGCATGTGGGGAAAAAAAAGAGGGACCAGAAACCTTTGAGCTAAGGTGAAGAGAAGAGAGTCGTTACGGTCTCAATATACGAGAGACATAACTCTTCTATATATTTTTATTATCTTAATAACAGAGAATATATGAATAAATAAAAAACACTCTTACTGTAGGAGGTTCCCTACTGTACAAACAATTTTTAGATGTGATCAAAGATTATTCACTCGATCTGGTTACACATTTTGACCATTCTTTTTTACTTTAATAATATCAGTGGCGATGATATAATTATTGAAATGATATTGTGGCGCTTTATTTCAAATATGAATCATCCAAGCCACCATTTTATAACTAGTATCTGAAGATCTGCGTGAAATCATGTTGTTGAAATGAAGCGTGAGCATATATTATTATCTTATTTATTTGGCCAACAAAAAACATCGCGTTAATTCTCAAGGCCCGGAAGTTACCACGTTGACCGGAGAAATAAAATTAAAGTCATTTCTACATGATCCATTGCTGCCATTACGCAAGAAATAAGCCAGAAATATACCCTTCATTATATTTCACTACTACTAACACATTCTATTATTACAAAAATATATTCTTTATGTTAGTCAAGTGATCAAATCTTTATTTTCGAATAAAATGCTATTCAAAGTTGCATTTCAAAATATCTTTTTACATAAAAATGGTTGAAAAACTAAACATATCAACATGAGAAAATAAGCATAGAAAGTTCATAAGACTAGTAGCTAACAGGGTAAGTAATGAAGGCATGATCTTTAGAGCTAATGGAAAAACTTTGTTATCTGGCGGCCAAAAGGAGACATGACAGAACCATTAAAAAACAAAGGGATGTAAATGTGAATTTCACAAGATTTGTACCAAGATTGGGCTCATATATAAAGCTTGAGGTCATGGCGTAACCAACAATAGACAGAGATATAACACGCAGATCACTCATGGTGAGGAACAACTAGTCTTGGTGAGTACAAACTCTAATGAAACCTTTGGCTTTCGAGTAGAGCATTAGAGAAGAATCCAAGCTAAGTTGTATAAAAAGATTAAAGGATACTATACTAGTCGCACAATTGTGCGGGTCAATCTATGCAAACATAATTTGAGGCATATGTAACCCCCTACCATTAACTCTAAATCGGGTATAATAACTCCGCATCAATTCATACCAGCATTCAGCTAATTCACTATATATGGCCTTTTCTCTCTCGACACTTGGCAAGTGTAACAACTAACATGTCCTTTCTCTCTTTTTGTCGTCACATATATGGTCCTAAGTCTAGATCGACTCAACTAACAGTTAGCTACTTAAAAATAGCTAAAGGTGGATCCAAACAAGCCTAGCTAAGGACTTGGCACGGCTCCTCCTGAGGGCCTCCTCCGGAGGAGCCGGAGCCATTTTGGAGGAGCCACAAATTGTGGCTCCTCCAAAACGGCTCCGGCTCCTCTGTTTTTTACTGAAAAACGGCTCTTCCAAGAAAACGTTTGGCAGAGCTCCTCTGGAGGAGCCGGAGCCGGAGCCGGAGAGGAGCCCTGCCAAACAGGTCCTAATTATTGGCTATATATATTAGCTAACAACCCATTCGTCCCACAAATAATGTCATTCTCATTATCCGAGAAGTCAAATATTTTCAACTTTGACTAATTGTATATAAAAATATTAATATTTATTGTAAGGAAAATGGACCCTTGGCCCATTTACTTTGGATTTTGGTGTTTGATGACCAACACAACCAAATTGGACTAATGAATTTGCAAGTGTTTGTTTTGTAGTCCAATAGGGTGCAAGACGTGACTTGGACGAAGGCGACGTGATGATCCGATAATCAACACCTCAAGCAAGACTTTAGAAGCACAAGTGAAGACCCAAGATATCAAGCAAAGTCCAAGCATGAAGATAGGAACCAAGCCGTACGTAAGATCACGAAGAAACGAGCTCGCAGAGGCGACCGGACGCTGGACCGAACGCTGGAAGCGCGACCGGACGCTGGACCGGTGGCTCGGCAGATAGGCGACCGGACGCAAGGACCGGACGCTGGCGTAATGACCGGACGGGACGCAGAACGCAGCGTCCGATCGAAAGTCTGTGAGGTTCCAGCGCTTAAATCGCGACCGACGCGCGCGTCGATGGCGCGGACGACGGACGGCGGCAGCGTCCGATCGGTAGTTCGCGGTTACAGCGGTCGGGACGACGGACGCGTCGGTCGAGACGATTCAGCGTCTGGTCGAGCGATTTATGGGAGTTCGACCCCAACGGCTACTTTCTCAGTGGGGCTTATAAATACAACCCCCAACCGGCCATTTGAGTAGAGTGGAGCTGAGGAAACATATTTAGGGTGTTGATACACCATTTTAGTGATCTCCACTTGCATAGTGCTTAGTGTTTCATCAGGTGATTAGCGAGGTGCTTTGCTGCGAAGTGCTTAGGTTGATTAGACCACCGCTTATGCGCTTGCTCTAGGTATATGCCTAGTGTTTAGTGAGGTTTGCATACCTCTTACCACCCGTGCTTACGAGCACAAGAGTTGTACATCGGAGGGGCTTGAAGTCTTGCGAGATCGCACCAACCGCGTTTGTGGTGCGGCCGCCACCGTGTAAATGCGAAGGGAACAAGGGCCAGCGGCGTTTGACCGAAAAGCTTGATAGTGAAGACGGCGGGGAGCATCCGGGAGAGGCTTGCCGAAGGCACGTCGGAGACCCACTTATGCGTGGGGAAGGCCCGAGGCTATCCACGGAGTTACCCAACCGGGAGCTTGGCCCTTGCGAGAGGATTCCTTGCGAGGGGCTCCAACGAGGACTAGGGGAAGCTTGCGCGCTTCTCGATACCTCGGTAAAAAAAATACGGAGTCGTCGATGGGAGTTTGCATATCTCTACCTTGCTCCTTAAGCTTCCGCATTTACATTGATCATATTATTATCATTTGCGGTAGAGATAGCAATACACTAGCAAAACCGTAGTTGCACATTTAGATAGATTATCTTTTGCATAGGTTTTGCTAGAGGTAGAAAAAGAGGCCATAGTTTAGAGTTAGATTTTTAAATTGCCTAATTCATCTCCCCCTCTTAGGCGTCCACGTGTCCTTCATTTATAATGCATAATTAGTACCATTAGATGAATTGCTAAATATATTTTCATATTAAATTTATTTAGTGATACAAATGTGTAACACCCTAAAATTTATATTTTTGAAAATAGGATTAAATTGATTTATTTATGAATTTTTGTGCTCATAAAAATATAGGAAAATAAAAATTTTCATTAAATTAAATTTATCATAGAAATTTAGCAATATTTTTCCGCATTCATGCTAATGCATACTTATTACTGTGACGAGTGGTTTTGTCCAAAAATCAAAATAATTTCAAATGCTTTTGAAATTTGGTTTTGAAAAATCATTTGAAAAAAAAGAATTTGTCACCTCCTCCCCTTTTCGGCCCAGCGTGCGCCGCAACAGCCCAGTTGCCCGCGCCGCGCCGCTTCCCGCTCTTCCGCTCCGGCTTGGCCTGCTCCGCTCTCCCTCTCTCCTCGCAGGCGGCCTAGCCCCGCTCTCTGTCGAGCCGGCCCAGCAAGTAGGCCGTGCCGCACCGTGCCTCCTCTTCCCTTGCGCGCAGTCGCTGACAGCCCGGCTCGCGCTCCATGTCACTGCCATCTTGGGCCCACTTGTCAGCACCATCCTTGACCTCCGTCGTAGCCGAAGAGGACTCCGTCGCCGAGAGACCGAAGTCGCCCCACCTCGTCTGCCTTGCCGTGTGCGCCAAGATGCTCCTCGGGCCATAAATAGCAGCCACCCGCATCGTGCCGCCTCCCTACCAAGCCCTAGAGCAAGCCGCATCTCCTCCACCCGAGTCATCGAGCTGTTTGAATCTCGCCGAGAAGGACCTCGCCGCCGTCGTGCTCGCCTAGCCGCTCCGCTACCACCGTAAGCCGATCCCGAGATTCACGTCAAGCTTGAGAAGCCACCGAGCCCCTTCTCTCTCTTTTTATCGCTTTAGCTCTCTCGCGCATCGTTGTCGAATCTTCACCGGAGCTCGCCGTCCGCCCCGCCGCGCTACCCGACGCCGTGGTCCCGTCTTCGACCTCAAAAAAGCCCTTGGTGAGTTCGCCGTGTCTTCCTCTTTCTCCCCGTGCTTTCTTTTTTACCGATGATGTCCGGAATGTCTAGAACGACGAACTCCAGCGAGGTCCTCTGCTCCCCGACCATGGCGCCACCGCGCATAGCGCCGCTCCGATGACCACCGTTTCCCGATTTGATCTGCACCGCCCGATCTGAGATCAACAGCCTAGATTAGAAGATACCGGCTGGCTTATTTGTTAAAGAGACCCTCTGGTTCAGCTACATAGAACCCGCCGTCCCTACACT